ATAAACCACTTGACATACATTATTTCATATACTTTTTACAGAAACTTTTCATGGTGGGTGCTACTATCTGACAGATTGGGGGGTCCTATTCAATGTTCTGTAGTGAGTGGAGGAGCTAGGATTTAAGAAGTTAAACCTAGAATTAGTTTTCTCCTTGATAGAGACTCTTGCAGTATACATCACCATTAAGACTTGCATTAAGCTGTCATTTTATTTTTTTTACTGTGTCCTTTGCCTTACAGAAGTTTTTCAGTTTCAGGGGGTCCCATTTATTGATTGTTGCTCTCAGTGTCTGTGCTACTGGTGTTATATTTAAAAAGTGATCTCCTGTGCCAATGCATTCAAGGCTACTTCCCACTTTCTCTTCTATCAGGTTCAATGTAACTAGATTTATGTTGAGGTCCTTGATCCATTTGCACTTGAGTTTTGTGCATGGTTATAGATACAGATTTATTTGCAGTCTTCTACATGTTGGCATCCAGTTATATTGGCACTATTTGTTAATGATGCTTTCCTTTCTCCATTGTACCATTTTGGCTTCTTTGTCAAAAATCATGTGTTCATAGGTGTGTGGATTAATGTCAGGGTCTTCAATTTGTTTCCATTGGTCCACTTGTCTGTTTTTTTCCCAATATCAAGCCACTTTTATAGCTCTATAGTAGAGTTGAAGTCAGGGCTGGTGATACCTCCAGAAGTTCCTTTATTATACAGGATTGTTTTAGCTATACAAAATGACAGCCTACAGAACGGGAAAAGGCCTTCACCAACCACACGTCTGACAGAGGGCTGATGTACAAAATCTATTAAAAAACACAAGAAATTAGATATCAAAATACAAAATAATCCAATTTAAAATGGGGTACAGAGCTAAACAGAGAATTCTTAGTAGAAGAATCTCAAATAGCTGAAGGACATTTAAGGAATTGTTCAACATACTTACTCACCAGGGAACTGCCAATAAAAATGACTCTGAGATAGCATCTTACACCTGTTAGAATGACTAAGATCAATAGTACTGAGGACAGCTTATGTTAGAAAGGATGTGAAGCCAGGGATCACTCCTCCACTGGTGATGGGAATGCAAAGTTGTACAGTCACTTTGGAAATTAGTGTGGTGGTTTCTCAGAAAACTGGGAATCAATCTACCTCAAGACCCAGTGATACCACTCCTAGGCATATTCCCAAAGGATGCTCAATCAGATCACAATTATTTGTAATAGGCAGAACCTGAAAACAACCTAGATGCCCTTCAACTGAAGAATGGATAAAGAAGATGTAATATATTTACACAATGGAGTATTACTCAGTTGTAAGCAATGATATCATGAAATCTGCAGGCAAATGGATGGAATTAGAAAAAAAACATCCTGAGTGAGGTAACCCAGACCCCAGAAAGACAAACACAGTATGTACTCACTCATAAGAAGATATTAGATGTAAAGCAAAGGATAACAGACTACAATCCAGAGACTCAGAGAAGCTAGTGTAACAAGAAAGACCCTAAAAGGGACACATGGATTGCCCAGGGAAGGTGAATTAGATGAGATTCCCCCAGGTAAACCTGGGGTGAGGGGGTACAGTAAAGGGGGGGAGATGAGAGATGAGAAGTTGAGGGAACAGGATGGTCAAGGGGGGAGAGGGATGGAGGAAAAGAGCAATGAAGGAGAGATCTTGATAGAGAGAGCCACTATGGAGTTAGAGAGACACCTGGTGCTAGGGAAATTTCCAAGAATAGACAAGGATGACCCCAGCTAAGACTCCTAGTAATAGTGGAGAGGGAGTCTGAATTGTAATCAGATTGTTGAATACCCCAACTATCATCACAGAGCCTTCATCTAGTAATTGATGAAACCAGATGCAGAGATCTACAACCAAGTACCAGGCTGAGCTCCAGGAATCCAATAGAAGAAGGGGAGGAGGAAATATATGAGCAAGGGAGATCAAGATCAAGGTGGAGAAATTTATAGAACCAGTTGAACTAAGCTCATGGAAACTCATGAACTCTATACCAACAGCTGTGGGGCCTCAGTGGGACTGAACTAGGTCTTCCATATGTGGGGGACAGTGGTGAAGCTTGGACTATCTGTGAGACACCTGGCGGTAGGACCAGGATCTGGTGCATGAGCTAGCTTGTTGGAGCCCATTCGCTATGGTGGGATGCCGTACTCAGCCTTAATACAATGGGGAGGGGCTTTGTTCTGCCCCAATTTAATGTGACAGACTTTGTTGACGTCCTGTGGGAACCCTTACCCATTTGGAGCAGTGGATGGGGTTTGGGTTTGGGGGTAGGTAGGGGATACAGGTGGAGTTATGAGTGGGAGAACTGGGGATGGAATGTAAAATGAAATTAAAATAAATTATATTACAAACAAACTAACAGAACGACTGGCATTAGAGGAGTTAGACGCATGACCGCTGGGTTTAAGAGCATTTGTTGCTCTTTTAGAGGGTCAGAGTTTGGTTCCCAGCACCTACATGGCAGCTTACAACTGTCCCTAACTCTAGTTCTAGGAGATCTAGAGCTTCTTTGGATCTCCATGAGCACCAGGCACACACAGAGTTACATACATGCAGGCAAAAGACTCATGCCCATAAAACAAACGTAAGTAAATCTTAAATAAAAGACTGGCATTAGAGAAGTCGCTTCACTCTCTAGGGAAATCTTGCTTATTCCTGACAGAAGCTGCACCGCTGGGAAAGGACAGGGGTGAGCCTGTGAAGGACAGTGAGCGTGGTGCCCAGGGAGAGGAGTGGCCACCAGGATGGCAGAAGAACATTATGGATTCGAAGGAACCAACGAGTGCATTGGGAAAATCAGGAGTTCAGGATGACACTGACCTATTAAAAGCTGGCAAAGTCTATTGCACCCTCCCCAGCCTGCCTCTCCGCAAGCCACCCTCACCCCAGCCGATTCTCTCCTCCCTCTGCCTTGTCCCGGACTTCACTTCAGGAGTGCTTTGTCTCTTACACTGCTCACAATTTGCACAAAAACGGGAACCGTAATTTATTAAGCTATGGATTTGCAACCTGACTGTTCCCTATATCTGAGTAACAATTACTTTGAAATGGAAAGGCAGTGTGGCTATGGAGACTGACACAAGTCGAGGATGTTGGTCATGTCTGTTGCACCTTGGTAGCTTTGGACGTTTCTAGACTGAAGATTTTGCTTGCTGTGGTCTGGGAGAGAGAAAGCCGGCCATGAAGCTCCAGCTCTGCCATTAGAATAACTATGTGACCTGGGCAAGCAGCCAATCCTGTCTGAGCTTACATTTTCTAATATGTAAAAAACAAATACCCTAAACTCTATTAATATTCAGTGGGTAGAAGACAGCATTGCTCTCATTCTTGAAGTAATTTCCTAACAATTTTGAAAAGAAAAAATAGGTTGGCAATTCTCCTCGATCACAAATGCACCTTAACCTGACATTTTAAAGATGGGGTTGGCACATGTTTGCTGACTACATAGTAAATATCTCAGGCTTTGTTGACTCTGTCATCTCTAGTTTGGCTACTTAGTTCAGCCACCGATAGTAAAGAGGTGAATATGCACATATGCCTGCGTCTCATTAAAACTTTACTGGTGTGTATTTGTGTGCTCTTATCTCTGTACAAGTGGTGTCGGTGTGCGCGCGCACACACACACGTGTGTTCAAGGCCAAGGTATGGCCATCAGCCTGCGCAAGGTGGCACGTTGTGTCTATTTGAACTAGTCTGGCGATAGCAATAGGGAGAAGCTAAATACTTGTGGTGGAAGGGAAGGAGACAGGGAAGAACTGCCCCCACTTTACAGCAGTGATTTCACTGTAAGACACCAACTCCACATGAAGGTTAGGAAACCATTGCTGTTTTCTCCATTGAAGCTAGAAGCATAGAGCATACTGGGAGGATTGTAATCCCAAGAGCATCTTCACAGGCTTACTGTGTTCAGAGGAGGAGTGAGTGGGTAGCCCCTGCCAGAGAAATGCATGGGGAGCCTCTGTCTGAGCAGTGCATAGTTTTGCTGTGAAAGACACCAAGTTGAACTGGGCTGGAACCTGTGGTGCAGACCCATGTCTGGTGTTTCCAGGAGTTCAGAATCAGAGATTTGTGGGTATTTTTTTTTTTTTTACATTTTGTCTCCTCATTTTCCCTTTTTAATTTGGAGTCCTGACATGGTAACTGGGAGCCTAGGAGCGAAGGGGAGAGTGGACTTCTACACTTGAGATAGAAAAGCCCATGCTGAAGTTTCCTTGGGTGCTGTCTTGCCAGAAGCATTTTAGAAAAGCAAACTAGAGTTCAGAGGTCAGAAACTTGGATTACTTCCAGAGAAAAGACAACAGACTTATCTGCTCCACTACATAGTAGGAAAGTTGGAGTTTAGGAAATTATAAAAAATTGTGGAGCCAGCGAGTTGGCTCAGTGGATAAGCAGCTTGCTGTCAAACCTGCCGACTTGAATTCTATTCCTGGAACCTCTCTACATGTGGAAGGAGAGAACCACCTCTGCAGAGTTGTCCTCTGACTTCTGCACGTGCTGTGTGGTGAACCTGAACCTGCACTCACAGACACACATAACACATAATAAAAAAATAATACGTGCAACGCGATAAAATTGATGAGCCGAAAGACCCGTAAAAAAATCCACATAAACTTTCTACTTAATATAAATCTGGATTGCGCTTTGCAATCAGTTTCATTAATTCATTAATTTTATTTCGTGGATTAATTTTCACTGTGTAAATCTGCAAATCATACTGGAAAAAGTTGATGTTAGCCAAGTGTGCCAGCATCTGTTTGGGAAGCTTTATTTTGGTGGTGGCTGGGAGGGCTGTTTGGTACCTGCTTTGCTGAAGCCACTGGTCAGTTGGAAACTGAGATAAGGAAGACCGTCAATATTCGAAAGTGTGTGCTGAACAGGTTTCCCGAATGGCGGTCTGTGGCGGGGAGGGGAGGACTTTCCCTTTGAAAACCACTGCAGTGACTGGCATGTCATTTTTTATTCTCTTTATTTTCCCAACACAGAATGAAGAAGATGAGCAACATTTATGAGTCAGCTGCCAACACGCTGGGAATCTTTAACAGCCCCTGCCTGACCAAAGTTGAACTGCGTGTGGCGTGCAAAGGGATTTCTGACAGAGATGCTCTGTCCAAGCCGGACCCCTGCGTCATCCTCAAGATGCAGTCTCACGGGCAGTGGTTTGAGGTAGGATTGCCCACGGAGACAGACAGAAGTCTGGCTGGATTATCTGTTCGATATAAAAACAAAGCAACACAAAACAAAAACATTTCCTGTCTTGAGCTGGTTTATTCCAAAAAGATAGAAAGTTCCAGAAAAAAAATTTAAATAGAATCATGTTTCTGTTTATCTCACGATGTTTTAATATGACTGTTTTGAAACTGTGATATTTTGACAATTTGTGAGCCTGAAATTTTCAGGATGTTTATGATAATTACTGAGTGATAACTATAACACACTCTGTCTCATGTCCAATTATCAACAAAATGCTAACATGTCGGAAACACACCTGCATCCAGGACCCAGACCGGACTGGAGTAATAAGATGGATGCTATAAAATCTGGCTCCACAGAATCCATTAATTATTATATATCCATCAATATTAATAAGCATACTCCTGGGGTTATAGGAGAGAGGCTCCTTTTTCTAAGGGAAGACATTGGGAAGTTGAGAGAGAAGTGTCTTCTCTGATGGGGTTGGTACAGGGCATAGGTTTTTCTATGTTGAGAGAAGAGTCAAGGGTGACAGGCATAAGCAAGCCAGTCCTATGAAATCTCTGGACCCTGTCTGAGGACCTGGGAGCTGGGGTCCAGGGATATTGGTCATAATGAGCCATGACTAGAGGTCAGGTCTCTGAAGAAGCTGTCCACATCGCAGGTGTGCGAGGGATGACCCAAAGTTTCAGGGGTGCTGTGGATCTCAGAACCAGGTATCCGAGAGCCGGGTGGGAAAACACTGACTGTGAAAGAACCCAGCCTCAAGGCCCAGAGGAATCATTCCCAGTCCGTGGCACTGGGGTGCTATGTTGGGTATAGAACCTTAATCTGAATTGGTTGGGGACTAGAGAAAGTGAAGTGTCTGTGTGTGTGTGTGTGTGTGTGTGTGTGTGTGTGTGTGTGTGTGTGTGTAAATCCTGAGGGGATTTGGTAGTGAAGAGATTCACAGGGATAGTGGTTGTGGGAGGAAGAAGGAACTATGGGGGATGATGTTCATTAAGTGTTGTTGGAAGGAAGTGAGCCGGAAAAGCTCTAGAGCCCAGTGGCTCTCTGGGTAGCGGTAAGGATAAAAAGGTATTGCTATAAAGTAGTCTTTGTGAGTGGTGATTTCCAATTTGTCAAGAGATGACTTGATATTTTGTTTCATTTGTCTGGGGAAGGATTTGATCTTTTTGTTACCTGTTTGCCCATTGGACTCAGTCAGTCAGTGGCCCAGGGAAGAACAGCAGTGGGGTTCTTTGCATCCCGTGGACTGGTTTAGCTAGATGCTGTGCTGATAAATGTTCATGTAGACATGATGGTACTTGATGAAGCATCATCTGGTATTTGTGGTTTTGAGTGAAACTTAAAATAATGTGAGTTATATTTTATCAATGACTTATCAAAGACTGTAAGTGACACGGTGTAGTAATTCCAGGTTCTGAATAAAAAACCAAACCAAAACAAAACAAAATGGACAGAAAGACTATGGCTTTGTCTAATACTGTTCTGCTTGTGCACTCAAAAGAGAGTATTTAAACCCAGGCAGCTCAACAGCCCAAAGGTTTTATTGCTGTTTCAAACATACTGAAGAAACTGGGATAGTCTTTGGTAGACTATTTGGAAATACTAAAGGTTGAGTTCTACAGATGGAGTATTTTTTTTGCTAGTATTGCTTATTTATAAATCAAAATATTGCATCTAAACACCTGTTTTAAATAAGCATTTTTTTTACAGTCTTATTATTTTTCCAGTAAATGATCAAGCTAAGGGTGTCATTATGGCATTTTCATATATATATATGAATTATATATATGAAATATATATATATTCATATATATGTGTGTGTGTCATAGACAGTATTTTTTGCTATGAGATGATGCTATGACTGTGGCAACTCTTATAAATGAAATCATTTAAGTGGAGGCTTGCCTACAATTGGAGGTTTAGTCCATTATCATCATGGTGAGAAGCATGTTGGCACCCAGGCAGACTTGGAACTGGAGAGGTAGCTGAAAATTCTACATCTACATTGGTAGGCAGCAGGAAGAGAGAGAGACAATGGGCCTGGCTTGAGTATTTGAAACTCCAAAGTCCATCCCCAGTGACACACTTCCTCCAACAAGGCCACACCTACTCTAACATGGCCACACCTCCTAATTGCTGTTAAATAGCACCACCCCTTAATGACCAAGCATTTAAAGATAAGAGTCCATGGGGGCTGCTCTTACCAAACCACCACGTTATATACTATTGCAGCTTTCCCTTATTAGTGCCCAACAAGGTTCTCTCTATTTCCTCTGTCACAATTCTTGTGGTTCCTTTTCTCCCCCCAAATAGCTCTGAGTAGAGTGTGTGTGTGTGTGTGTGTGTGTGTGTGTGTGTGTGTGTGTTCAAGTGTAAATTTTACACATGAGCAAAAATATGCTGTCTGAGTCAGAGTTCTCTACAGGAACAGAAAACAACAGGATGACTATGTATGAAAAAGAGGTTTTAGATTGGCTTACATGATATAAACTGGGTCATCCAACAATGGCTGTCTTCACATTGGAGAAAGGTTGAGAATCCAGTATCTCTTTGGCAGCCTCAATTTTGGCAGTCCCACCCTGACACTGAAAGCCTGATCTTGGAGAGTCACTGGCCCTCTGTTCTCACTGAGCCCAGTGAATCTGGGTTCCAGTGTCAGGGGAAGATGACAGCCACAGCAACAGAACACAGATACACACAGTGGCCTTAGGAGAAAGGGAAGCAGCTGAAAAACAGCCCTTGTTCTCCTTGGATCTCTTTCTTATCTGGGCGGCTTTTAAAGGATGGTGCAGATCCTGCAGAAGGGACTTTCTCTCTCAGTTAATCATTGCAGGAAATAACCTGCCCAACACTGTGTCTCTTGGTCAACCCCAAATCAACCAACCCATTTGCAATCTCTTAGGATCATCCCTGTGGCCTTCCCTCCTTTTATCTCCTTTAATCTTTTAACAGGTCGGAGTGTCTCCTGTGGGCAGTCTTCCCCATGTGGTAGGAAGCAGCACCATAAGCTTGGAGAGGCAATGTATTTACTCCTGTAAGCCTATGCTAGCAACCACTGCTCTCAAAGTCTGTTTTGATAGCTGCTCCTGAGCAGATGGGATTCAGGTGAGGGGAACCATGCATGGAGAATGAATGACAGGCAGATGGGAATCTTAATTCTTCCATTGTAACAGCAAAGCCTTCATTCACTGGGGTTTTATGTGTCATGGCACATTTTTCTCTTAAGTGAAGGTCTTATAGATCTTGTTGGTGAACCTTAAAAAAATTAAATGGAATCAGTACAGTAGGGGAAAGTCACTTTTTGAAAATTAGCAGAGAATAAATTGGTTTCTAAAACACCTTTTATGCTTTAACTACTGTCAACTGTTTTATTTCTAGCTTTTCTCTTTTTCTCTTCTGACACACATATTTTTAAACCTTTTGAAAAACTTTGTGTTTAATATTTGCTTACTTAGTATGTGCTGATGATGAGAGCACATTCCCGCCACATGCACGTGAGGGTCGGAGGACAACTTGCAGAAATTCACTCTGGCCTTGTTCTTTCTATTTGGGTTCTTGTTGCAGAAGTCAAGTTGTCCTGCTTGGTGACAGGAACCTTCAATCTCTGGCCCATCTCACAGGCTCTATTTTGACATGATTCTTAGGCATGTAAAAATGTTCTTTTCTGATTTTACTGTCAAGAAGCATATGCCTTTTCTATATTACAATTTTGATAAATGTAATTTTCAAGTTGCATAATATCCTACCGAATAGATTCACTTAAACTGCTGTCCCATTTCTTAACTTTGAAACTGCCTTTTGAAATGCCGTCCTTTAAGTAATGCCAGGCTGAACATCTTTGTGCACAAAAATTTTCACTTATTTTTGGATGGGTTCCTAGAAGAGATGCTATCAAAATAGAACTGGTAGGATGGAGGATAGGATGGTTTATTTTGTTTTAGTTTTCGAGAACTTCACACATGGGCACCACGTTTACATCACTCCGGTTCCTCCCATGTCTTCCCCTCCTTCCCCAATTCATATCCTCTCCTTTACTATTGTTGCACATATACATATTGTGTGTGTGCATGTGCATGCATGCATGTGTGTGTATGTGTGTATATGACCTACCGAGTCCATATAGCATTGCTCATATGTACATGTGTCCAGAACTGACCACTTGGAATTGGACAGCCTATGACCAAGTCTATCTCTGTCAGAAACTGATTCATCCTTTCTCAGCAGCCATTGACCACCTGTATCTTTTCATCTAGTGATAGGACCATGTGAGTTTTCTGCTCTCTCCTTGATATGTCAACTGGTATTATTATTATGCCAGTCTAGTCGGACAACCATATTGTTGCGATTTTATGAGAGCATTTTACCTGTCGTGTCTCGGGGACACTATCTAATCCTAGGCATCCTGGTCTGCTGGCTCTTACACTCCTTCTCCTCCCTCCTCCATTATTTTACTTGAGGCATAGGTGTATGGGTTGTGCTGCAGCAGTATCTGTTAGGGCTGGGTACTCTCCAGTCCCTTATTCTCTGCCCTCCTCCCAGTGGGAGATTCTGTAATAGTCTCCATCCGTTGCAGACAAGAGGCTTCTTTGATCAGGGACGAGAGCTAAACTTTTTTCGTGGTATAAGGAAAAACTAAACACAGTCACAAATCACGTTAATTTAAGAAAGTGGTAGTAGTCGGTGCTTCTCTAGGGCCCATGGCCTCTCTGGCCACCGGTAGTTGACTGAGTTTACTGTACCAGGCATGACTTCCCTCTCATTGGAATGACTAGGAAAACAGATCCCACGCCAAGCAGCTGCCAGAAAGAATTTCCTTTGAATGACCATTGATGAGGGAGTCAAAACTAAAGAGAGGGTGGAAAGTAACTCTGGGATAAGAACCAAGAAATCAGTACTTTGCTTAGGACTGCAAAAGTGGCATGTTAGGACAAACTTGTGAAGTTGTCAAAATACTCAGAAACCAT